CTCCAGTGAAGAGTGATCAGGTTTACAAGACGCTTACTCCCAACGATTCCTACAGACCTATGATGACCTAGTTCCGCCTCTTCTGGCCATGGGACTTAAAGTACTTATCTATGCTGGTGACCAAGACTATCCTTGTAACTGGCTCGGCAATAAAGCATGGACCGAGAAGCTCCTGTGGGGTCATAAGGACGACTTTCAAGTAGCCCCTTATCAGGAGTTCATCGCCCCTGCTGTTGGACTCGGCGGTGGGTCAACTCTCGATTGGCTGGTGGTTCGAGTGTTTTTCAATTTCAGACAATTCTATTTCCGAGATCGTCGTGGGCTCCATGCGACAGTATAAAAACTTTGCGTTCCTCCGTGTGTCGAATGCTGGCCATATGGTCCCCAAGGATAAACCAGTCGAAAGTCTGCATATGTTCAAACAGTTCTTGAATGGCCGTGTGCCCGAGGCCGTTCCCTGATTTGCAATAGTAATTTAATTTTTATTTCCACCTTATGTGTGTATTATTTGTCTCGTCTGAGATCGTGGAGCACACCCCCTTCCTGGTAGTACGTCTGTGATGATCGTGATGCTGTTGTAGTTTACGGAAGCCGTGGTCAGCGATCATATACTCGTTAATTACGATTTTACGCATGGGAATCAATAATCAACTCTGTGTTGAGCTGTCAGTGTCATGAGTCTAGTGCGCAGAATTTTAGCGCGCGCCTAGCTGATCGATATAGTCGATGGTCTATACACGTCTCAAGTAAATGTGACCCTGGAAGAAGGGCTCCAGTCAGAGCACTCTGTTGGAAAGACTAGGGCAGACTCTATTCTTTTGAGTCGATTGAATGCGTAATTCGGCAGAGCAGAACATCATAAGATTTCCAGTTCCAGAATCCAAGGCCAGGACAAGGTCTCCCACCCGAACATCAATGGACAGGCCTGAGGTGTTGGGTGGGCCACTCATAACCTTATAGTACTCTCCGTGGTCAGTCCAGTGGAGGAGCGGCTCGGGCTAGTCATCTTCGAAAGAATGGCTCAGTGACACCGACTAATCAGGGGGGTAGAGGACCGCCTGGAGCCCTCGGCAGCAATGCTGACATCTCCGTGAACGGAGCGGGCAATAATGGGGGAGGGTCTCCATCAGCTCCTCCTAAGATACGGGTTACGTGCAGGTAGTCATGTCCATTCGCGGTAACTAAGTCGCTTGAGCGGTATGTGAAAGTAACTACTCGTTGTTGAAGAAAGTAGGAGAGTCAGAGTTGATACCATTGATTTCGATTTCTGAATATTCTCCTGTTGTTGGATCCCTCCACACTTGGCAGTATGTCTTCTGATGTGCCTCAGAAAACGGCCGTTGAACAGGCGGGAGCTGTCAGCAAGGGGAGGAGGCGACGTGGTAGCTTGTCGGGATGGGGCCGTCGTGGTTAGTGAGCCCAAGCTCAAGGTGGACCTCACTAAGTAGCTGACAACACCGTTGTATGGTGAGAGTAGTACTCGGAGTGTAGATACGTCGAGGAGCATACTTTCCAGTTCGATGAGGCTTTTTCTGAGGAAACGACCAATGCTGAACTGTAGTCAGGATTGCTTGCGCGTGTCCTATAGTACAATTGTGAGAGCATCATCAGGTATAACGTATGCGTTCGTCCCCTGGTGTCGGCATTATTCACTCGAAAGGCCAAGTGCACTGTGTTCGCATATGGTCAGACAGGCAGTGGGAAAACTTATACTATGCTGGGATGCCACGAGCCATCTAATGCTACACCAGGTGATAACAGC